AGCCCCAGGAGGAAACCCACTGCTTAACGGAGGCTTCTGGCTCCACCCCATCTCAGTTTTTCAGCCAGTGAAGCCAGCTGCTGCAGTCTGGGAGAGGAAAGGGTCATCTTTCCTTAACATTGTTTTAGGGCTCAAGGGAGGGAGTGCAAAGCATAGGCCCTGAAGGGGGTGGTGCGAAGCACGAGTAAGAGGAGCAAAGGCCTCATACGGGGGTGCAGAATAGAGGGCACACACAAAAAAAAATCATTTCCAAAGCGGGAGATGGAGAAACAACCAGACACAAGAGAAGGCCGTTGCTTAATGACAGGATGGGGACTGTTTGAGTTTCCATCAGCAGCCAACCTAATTGGCTACCAATGTTAATTAGATCAGTAGCTGAAAGAAAAATAAACTCTGCCCTCTAGAGGTGCTTGAGTGTCCCCATTTGGAAGAGAGAGTGTCTGCAAGTTCATCCCCGCAACAAGTGATTGCCGCACAAGCTCTAATATTTCTCTCTGGATGCAAGAGAAATACATTGCAAGACAGAAAACATGGGAGTTTAAACAAAATGCGTTCCATAGACAATAACTGCTGGTGCTTGTAAGATTTCCTAGTAGGGCTGCTGTGTAGTAGGACTCGCTACTTTTTACTCAGTAAAAAGAGAGGTACCTATTTTAATGTAAGGGCCACAACTATGGCAGTTCAGGCCCAATATTTGGGTCCCTATTTTAAGGGGCAAAAGGGAGCTCATTTTTAAAAAATAAGATTTAATATTAAAACTACAGGGTAAGCAGAGAGGTTCTACTCCATTATTTCCCATTTCATAAGAGGTTAGGGAGGGACACACTGAGTGGACACCCAGTCCTGTTTTTTAACTCTACTCTTTTTAAAAGCTACCACAGCCAGTATGCCATATTTTCCCCATCCACACTAGCATTAAAAGACATCCCCCCTACATCTTGGCTATGGCAGACAAGCAAGCTAGTATTTCCTTGTAATGTTGATGTGCCCTTAATGTACTTACCCAGCTCCAAGTCCAACCATAGTTCTCCCTTCCACCTTCCATATGCTCTGTCCTTGTTTGCCATTTTTCCATCTCTAGTAATATATTACTTTGCTGCTGCTGACTAGTCTCTCCCCCTCCAACGGAGGGAAAGCCTGCTCTTAAAAGAACCTCTTCCACTGGCTCCCCAGCCTCATTCTTTAAAGACTGCCCCCCCCCCAAAAGGGACCAAACGAGCTTGGAACCACACTTAGACCAGAGATCTTTTTGAGCTCCCCGGCTGCCATACTGCTGCTGCACAGCTGTTGAATTTGCTCCTTTCAGTAATTCCAGCTGGGAAGAAAGAACACTTCTGTGCCCAGATCAACGGCTTACAGGTGACCTGCAAGGGGAGGAGATGTGGAGGAGAGAGGAGAAAAGCCTGGCAGCCCGAGGATGCAGCACTGCTGTGCTACTGAAGGCAGCACAGGTGACTTAGGCCAGCACTGGAGGAGAATGTCCCAAGACAAGATCCCCTTTGCTCACCCAGGACCTTAACACTTTCCAAACCCTTTGGACAGAGGAAGGTGGGGAGGAAACTGATCCTCTTTTTCTGATAACCACACAGTATATTTTGCTATGCTTTAAATACCTTCCCAGCCTCTTTTCTTTGCTCATTTTTAGCATACAAGCGGCTGCAAAAACTTGACCACTCCATACGCGTTCTAGACACAGTCCTTCCTGTCCATTTTATTCCAGTTCAAAAGTGCACACACTGTACACGACGGGAGGTGCAGTGGTGGAAGCACATTTTATGAAGTGGTGACAAGAGCTTCCACTGAGTTTGAGCTGCTTTAACAAGAACTTACTGACACCTTCTCATATTTACTCCATGAGAGCTGCCTAAAAATAAAGATTGTGACCCTCTTTGGTGAGGGAACTCCCCCAGAAGTAGCTGAATTCAGCTGGATACCCACCAGAGATCAACACACACATGAGAAATAAGGAGTTGGGTTCTGTTTTACAGTTATTCATTTTCATAAGCAAAATCTTGTGTGTTTTTCCTTTGAAACCCCTTCATTGAACATCCCATTTTAAACATTAAGAATTGCAAAGTTTCATTTGAACAGTTTGCCAGCCCTGGAGACTGGTGTCCTAATTGTCCTCAGAACAGGTGCACATGGGTGTTTTCCTGCCAATGTGACTCAGCCTAGAGCTGGAGAGCTCAATTCTCAGATTAGAGGGTAATTCAGTATAAAGCCTCCTCAAACTGCAGTCATTCTACTGAGACAGCCACCAAAGGAACTAATTACAAGCTTTATGTACTCATGTGCTCCGTAGGGGCACCTGAGTCCCATCAAGAGCACAGGGTGGGCAGTAGAGTTTTCCCATAGTGCACCATGTTCCTAGGGCTAGAATGTCGACACTGAGGAGTTCCTAGGCACTTTGGGATATGTTTGACTCAGGTCAGTGCATTGCAGTGTGCACTACAGATCCCTGGGTTCAAGCACAGGTCAGAAAATTATTAACCTAGGGTTAAAATGCCCAGGGTTCCTGACACAGGTCAGCTAACTTGAGTCCCACTAACCCTAGCTTTACACTGTAGACATAGGATATGTCTACACAGCAACTAGACACCCGAGGTTGGCCCAGGCCAGCTGACTCAGGCTTGCGGAGCTGTTTCATTGCTGTGCAGGGTGGCAGGGTCCCAGAGCTCAGGCTCCAGCCCTAGCCCAGAAGTCTACACAGCAATAAAACAGCCCCGCAGCCTGAGCCCCATGACCCAGAGTCAGCTGGCACAGGCCAGCCGTGGGTGTTGAGTTACTGTGCAGACATATCCTATGTGACCTGAGCTTCTCCTCCCCACCAGCAAGACCTTTTGTAAGGGGTGTTACTGATTCATTAAACTGCCCCCTCCCCTTCTCTCTGCTATTTTGATAAAGACTACACGCTACAAAAAGGTGTATTAATGTTAGTGTGCTGCATGTAATATTTCAGTCCATTGCCAGGCACGGAAGCAAAGAAATGCTCACTTATCACAGGTAGAGGGTAAGTGGGGCTGAAGTCATGCTCAGTTGTCTGCCAGAATGAAAGGGAAGAGAGGAGAAAGCCAAGCCATGGCGTGACACAGACACTTACCCCCCTTCTGAAGTATGAAATGTGGACAAACCCCGGAGGTCTGGGTGGTAACCGGGACCAGCATGCCTCCCTTGGCTCCCATGACTGCCTTCACTGCTGCTCAAGTTGCCTTTTGCCAGTGGTTTCTTGTTGTAAATGTAGGCTCCAGAGTCTGTCTCAAACCCATTCAGCGTTCCCCGACTAGTTCTATTCTCTGTAATCTCAGGCTGGTATCCATCATTTCTGTTCTCGTATGAAGCAGAGGGATCTTTGGACAATTTGTATCCATGAGAAATCAGGAGGTCCTCCACACTGAACATGTTGTGCTGGTTTCACTCACTGCTGTGCCACGAGAAAGCTCTCTCCAGCAGAATCCATCACTGAAAGAGGGAACAGAAGGCTGCTCTAATAAGGAAAGACAACTTAACTCAATCTGCAGGCTACTGGATGCAGAGTTTCATTCTCTCGCCTCTACATAATAAAATACATAAGACTGAAGCGCATGCAGATGCTGATGAATCATGTGTTGACCTTCCCTAGATAATATACCTACATTTGTTCAGCCAGGGAACAGATGCAGAGCTGCTGCTGCTGCGTCAGTCCATTTGAGTGAAGAATTTGGTGATGATTGCAGCTTTCAGATTTTGATAAAGCCTTGGGAAGCTTTGCACTGGAGATAAGCAAACCCTTGAGAAAGGCATTTTCTCCAAAAATGGTTTTTACTCTGATCAGGTGGAGCTGTGCTTTATGCTGGGAGGGGGGTTAGATTGCAGGGCAGCACAGCCTCCTCCTGGAGTCCTGCAAATTCTATCAAAATTAGCTGGTGAACAAGCACAAAAATAATGCATAGCAACAAGAAAAGAGAAAAAGTTTATTATGTTAGCCCATAAAGGCACTGCTGACGTCCTGCTGTGCCCCCAATTAGACTCCCTTGTTTACAGTCTTTAAAGGTTGCTTTTCGGGGAGATTTCTTTATTGCCTAGGTGGGCCTGTTGAAATCTGTAATCAGCTAATAGGTGTAACACAAATCAAAGAAGCCAAGAAAACTGCATTTGAAGCCATGTGTGTTGTTGCACAATGATTTCCAAAGCAAATGGAATCAATCCAAAGTTAAGATTTTTCCTCCTATCTGCCAGCCCTACAGACTCAGCCTGAGTTCTTTGCTGATTGCACATTGTTATTAGTAATAGGTTCTGCAGATCAAATTAGTTGATCTGTAACAGTTTCTCTTGGCTAGCTCACCCTTGTAACCTACTGTCTATTCTACTCTTCTAGCTTCTTATATTTATGGGGTACCAAGTCTTCAAAGGTTTGGAACTTGGTAAACACTTCTGTAGATGAATAGATTCCAGCACACCATCTCTTAGCTGTGCTGTTCTGCCACATCACTGAAGTGGGTGGATGAGACTTGAAATACGCCTAGGGAGCAAAAACATTGAGTAAGACACTCAATAGGACACTTGATAGGGGGCTTGTATAACATGCTCAGTGTTATATGTCCCCAGTAGTGGAACGTCTGAATAAAGAATAAGAACCTACTATTTCTAGAAGCTAATGAAGTTTCTCCTTCAGCTGAAGTGCTAGAGGCCAGTGCTTTGGTGCATGAACTCCTGGGTTCTGTCACCAAGGCTGATCTTTACAAAGAGTCTCTACTCTGTGCTAAAGAAGGCACTTCATTCACTGTTATCAATATGAGGCACTTTATATGGAGTAGGCACGAAAGGGGGACTTGACACATTTACTTGGTGTGTTCCAGAAGTCAGTTTTCAGCACAGAACCAAACTTTAAACTGTGCCTGCGCAGACCATGTAATTGTTACTTAAGGGTTTGAAAATAACTCCTTTCTAAACCGGTTTAGAATCTACACCAGTCTCTGCATAGAGCCTAAAGAATCTGTCCCCTGTCCCCTCTATATGTGGTATTGTACACTTTAAAGAAATAAAACACTTCCCAGTAACATTTGTGGAGTGGTGGTTTTTTGTTTGGTTGGTTGGTTGGTTTTTTTGGGGCCAAAACAGGGCTCCTCAAACCTACTAAAAGCTACACTGTACTAGAAGAGTAGAATGATCAGCAGATAGTCACAGGGATAAAAAAGCCAGCCAAGAGGTACTAGTCAAATTAATGGAAGAAAGGAGTGGAATCCCTTTCTTTAAAGGAAAAGATGGTTTTGTTGTTTATTTTTAAACACTTCAATAACAGGAGGTGGGGCCAGATCAGGTCAACTCAAATGATTTCTCTATTCCTAATTGTTTCTAGAACACAAAGACCTGGACTTGTGAGAGGAGGTAAAAATCACAGAAGACAGAACAGCTGGCTGCTAGAGCTATTCAACCTCTAAAGAGAAAAAGATCCACTGTGACTGCATAAACAATAGAATGCCCACTGGACAGCGCACAGGTGCAAGGAAGAAATGTGCTTTTCCTGTTATTATTGCTTGGGGGTCAATATTAACCCTTTCTCTCCTACTGCTGTGGATAGTGGCAAAGTGAAAACAATATTTGTCAGGGGTTGAAGGAGGCAATATGCAGAGAGAGAAACAGGCAATTTAGAAATAGACAAAACCTTTGGACCATGGGTCTTATTCTGATCTCACTTAAAATACTGAGAGAGTCACGAGTAACTTCAGTGAAATCAGTGGAGTTACACCTTGGGAAAAACCCAGTGGTAGCTGGCGCCCAAAATAACCCCTCAAGGTTAATCATATTTGAAAATAAAAAACTGGGGTAGCGTTGGGGAGGTGTTACAGGAAAGTCCTTTGGTGGGGATATGGGGAAGTGGGGCAGGGGAGAGAAGGGGGATGCCCTCTTCCACATCAGTGCCCTGCTCTTCAGAGTGAAAAACTGAGACACTTCACCATAAAGGGCAGGGTGGGTGAACACAGTTCTCTCCTCATCACAACCTCTCTCCCTTCCTCCCTCCCCTCCTTCCCTCCTAGATAGCTCTACCCTATCATCTCCCTGCTGTCTCCCCATTCCCACACTCACCACTAAGTCACCCCCATCTTCATTCACTAAAGGATTTAATTGCCTCCTGAACTCAACTCTGTAACCCAGCACATCCTACTCCTAGCTCAGAACCTCCCCAAGCCTCCCCAGCTTCCTCCAGCCCAACCAGTGTAGACCCTGCCCCCCATGACGGTTGCCACCTCTGAAGTACAAAAAACCAGGACAACTGGGATGATTTTGAGAGCCCATAAAATTTGACAGCCGGCTGTGTGTACTGAGCATTTCCCAGGACAGCTACTTCAGAAAAAGGGACGATCCTGGGAAAATGTGGCCAGGTGGCAACCCTACCCTCATACCTATCCAAAAGCCCTTCCACTGCTTACCTAACCTCTCCACATCTCAGAACCAGGCCTTCAGCTCTGAAACCTCCCCCCCCCCATCCATCTCTCTCTCTCACACACACACACACGTCAGAAAACTCCTCTGCAAGCACAGAACCTGCCTCCCTCCTACCAGACATCCACCAACAACTAACTCAGAACTACGCTACACCCACCTGCCCACCCACATGTACACTGCTGGTCCTGGAGAAGTAGAAGCAGCAGGGAAGGACTGTGGCTGCAGGTAGCCCTATACTCCACATCAAGAGAGAACTGGTTCTACAGGAATCAGTATTCCATGCTTTGTGCCTCCCCTTTGCTGCCTTGGAGTCTATGGGCTTCAGAACCAGGACGACTCAGGGCAGCCACCTATATGACATCCCGAATCCAGAGACTGCAGAAGCTTCAGCCTCCCCCCAGTGGCAGTCAATGGCACTGCACACTGCAGTACCTCAGCTGTGCTACACAGCTCTGTCTCCAGCATAGCTGACATTATTGATAGGGCTTAGTTCCATTAGCTCCCAGTAAGACTAGTATAAATGAAGTCAGGATAGATTCAGAATGGAAGACAGTGCAATGGGTTGAGTGCTAGACTGACTTGGGAGACCACAGTTCAATTTCTTCCTCTGACACACACCTTCTGTGTGACCTGGGGCAAGTCCCTTGCTTGTTCTGTTCCTCAGATGTCCATCATAAAATGGGGTTAGCAGCACTTCCCTCCTTCACAGGGGTATTGTGAGGATAAATACGTTAGAGATATTATAGGTACTTATATTGCTCCCATTGCTAAAACATAGAAAGGATCCAGCCCCATGTACACATACTGTACATATTGGCAATTTTCCTAGTGTTTCAAAGCCAAGGTTTCTACTTTTCAGGTGGGAGGCCAGTTCCTTTTACTAGGAGTAAGTGGATGAAATTAAGAAAAGGAAGATGTAGGTCGAATATGAGGAAACATTCCTGACTGCAAGATCTCTAATCCTGTGGAACAGTTTCTAATAGAAAGGGGTGGAAGACTAGGGTCCTGGTCTACACTATGAGTTTAGGTCAAATTTAGCAGCGTTAAATCGAATTAACCCTGCACCCGTCCACACAATGAAGCCATTTATTTCGAAATAAAGGGCTCTTAAAATAGATTTCTGTACTTCTCCCTGATGAGGGGAGTAGCGCCGAAATTGACATTGCCCTTTCGAATTAGGGTTAGTGTGGCTGCAATTTGAAGGTATTGGCCTCCGGGAGCTATCCCACAGTGCACCATTGTGACCGCCCTGGACAGCAATCTGAACTCGGATGCACTGGCCAGGTAGACAGGAAAAGCGCCACAAACTTTTGAATTTCATTTCCTGTTTGCCCAGCGTGGACAGCACAGGTGACCACGCAGAGCTCATCAGCACAGGTAACCATGCAGTCCAAGAATCGAAAAAGAGCATCAGCATGGACCGTACGGGAGGTATTGGATCTGATCGCTATATGGGGAGAGGATTCTGTGCTAGCAGAGCTACGTTCCAAAAAGACGAAATGCCGAAACATTTGAAAAAATCTCCAAGGGCATGATGGAGAGAGGCCACAATAGGTATTCATATCAGTGCAGCGTGAAAGTTAAGGAGCTCAGACAAGCCTACCAGAAAATCAAAGCAGCAAACGGAAGGTCTGGGGCAGAGCCGCAGACATGCCACTTCTATGCTGAGCTGCATGCAATTCTAGGGGGGGCTGCCACCACTACCCCATCTCTGACCATGGATTCCGAGGAGGGGGTAATCTCAGCCATGCCTGAGGATTCTGCAGACGGGGAAGATGAGGACGAGCTTGCGGAGAGTATACAGCACTCCGTTCTCCCCAACAGGCAGGATCTTTTTATCAGCCTGACTGAAGTACCCTCCCAACCCTCCAAAGGCGTTATCCCAGACCATGAAGCCATGGAAGGGACCTCTGGTGCGTGTACCTTTGTAAATATAAACCATGGTTAAAAGCAAGTGTTTTTTAATGATTAATTTGCCCTGAGGACTTGGGATGCATTCGCAGCCAGTACAGACTACAGGAAAAGTCTGTTAACGT